TTCATTACATAATTAATAGAAAAAATTAAATAAAATATTCCATTACAAATTATAAATAATTATTTTCTGATACCTTTTTTTAGGGATTAAATATAAAACTGAAAGAAAGTCTTTATATCTTATAATACTATGATCATTGATAATAGAAAGTTTAATATAAACTTTAAAAAATTATATTTATGTACAGTACTTTAGAAAAATAAATTATCATTATATAATTATATAAAATATCATTATTTATAAGAAAATACCATATTATATTTATAGTATACAATTTACAAGTAACACGAGAATATATTTTAAGTTACTCTAAACATTCTTTACTGATAGTGAAGCTTTTCCTCTTCCTAACATTGATCGTTTTTATTTTTTATACTTAAAACACCGTACTGTAAGTCATTCTCGTACTCGTCACACAATCACTGTTCGTCCAAGTAAAAAAAAAAAATACATATCAAGGCTAACATTTCTACATGATCAGGAACAGCACATTCATTTCCTTTTATAACTATGTATTTTTTTTTTGGTTTTATTAATTTCACGTCTTATACTTCTTCTACAGAAAAATTTGCTATAATTCACGATCTCGCCACCTTCCATCCCAACCCTTTACCTAACTCAAATTTTTTTATAATTTGCTTTTTTGCCTTTTCAATAACATCAACATCTCCAACGCTAATTTTGCTGTTTATAGTTATATAATTTTGCAATCAACTGCTTCTATCGTATCGGTCAAAACACTTACCTTCATTAATCTTTTCTTTCTTACTATGTGAATTAATTATTCCGAGGGTGTTAATAACTTTGTGGATAAGACTAAGATTGCAAATGATCCCAGGATATTATCGCACATATGCTTCTTTCCGTTACTGTGCAATTATCTCTTATGGAAAAAAGAATATCTCGATATACAAAATTTATAGTTTTCTTCAACAGCTTTTAAGATTCTTGATGTATGGTTCTTCAGAAGAGGGATCGAATACTTGAATGTCGAAAATAAGGATATTAGTAATCATAATACAGTTTACTGAAATATATGCTTCTTTCCGTTACTGTGCAATTATCTCTTATGGAAAAAAGAATATCTCGATATACAAAATTTATAGTTTTCTTCAACAGCTTTTAAGATTCTTGATGTATGGTTCTTCAGAAGAGGGATCGAATACTTGAATGTCGAAAATAAGGATATTAGTAATCATAATACAGTTTACTGAAATACCGATTGATACCTAATGGAACATTTTCTAAACTTGAAAAAATGAATACTGATTATTTCCATACTATTTTAAAACAACTTTTTCGTGCATTATGTGACAAGAGATGACAGAGAAGTCATTATTCTTTAAAATAATGCCCATTGTCATTTTGCACGTTCGAACACCCAATGCATTGAGATATAAATGCTGTAGACTTACAGTAGACCCCAATAAAACGGATTCATATAACACAGATTCGTATATAACAGCGAAAAAATTGCGATCGTATTCATATAAACCCACTAAAAGAGGCTCGTATGATACGGTAAAACGTCATCGCCGATTCGTGTCGCGACAGGATTGGTCGAATCTAGACCAATAGTGGATATTGCACAAATCGTTGAGTTTAAACGAGCAGCGGATCTACTAAAAACCATTTATTATTTTTTTGTTTCCTTCTTACATAAATGTAAAATACGAAAAAAGTTATATTTTTCTTTTTCTTCTGACTTTCTGGATAATATATAACCTCAATTTTTAAAACGTTAAGCCAATAACGACATTAAAAATTTTTTTTAAAAGAAGTTAAAATAGGTATGAAAAAGAAAAAAAATAATTTGCAGAGAAAATTTTTTTTTATTTACATTACGAACAAGATTCCCAGATGCATTTTGCCAAAAAGCCTTTACAGTGGGATTACAGTACACAGTTTACATTCTAAACTGTGCATTGTAAGCTGTGTACAGCGGATAGAATGTAAACTGTGCACTGTAAACTCACTGAAGAGGTTTTTTGGCGAAATGCATCTGGGAAGCTTGTTCGTAATGTAAATAAAAATTTTTTTTCTCTGTAAATTATTTTTTTATACCCTATTTTAACTTCTTTTTTGAAAAAAAATTATAGTTATTATTGGCTTAACGTTTTAAAAATTGAGGTTATATAATGATATTATCCAAAAATTCAGAAGAAAAAAAAATATAACTTTTTTCGTATTTTACATTTATGTAAGAAGGAAACGAAAGAAAAATTTCTGACTCCATCGGTTTTTTTAATTATTTTGGCATTTATTATTTAACGTCCGTAAAAATTATATTAATATCAATGATGTCTCAAAAGTTCAGCAAATTTTCCGCAGAAAAATAATTTATCAGGAAACGCGCTCGCCGTTCGACGCGCCGCTCCACGACGAAAACAACCTGAAGCAATAGCGTTGTCGAACGGTGCACACTCGGTAAGTAATCCTACAATTTTTTGTTTATAGCATAGTTTATATGGATTATTCCCAAAAAAAAATTATACGTGTTTCGGAAATGTTGAGTCAAATTAGTCTAGAATCCATTAATTTTATGGAAGAAAACCTTTCAAACAGCCGTAGTCTGTTTGCCGTTGTCAAACTGCATACGTGCCGGGCTGTGATTGGCTCATGTATTTAAGGACTCGTAGAGCATGAATTTTATAAAACACCAAACATATCTACCATGTTGTAGGGGGGTCTACTGTATTTATCGCAGTACATATCTACTATTCTCCTGCAGTACACGTTAAATTTTAACATAATAGTAGATACGTACTGCAGTACCCTGCAGTACATATCTACTATTGTCAAATACACTTGTTTGATTTCGTAAAAGTTCGTTTCATAAGAATACATTTTAGAAAGAATGCAGTAGTCCAAGAAGCTGTACGTTATTGCTTGCGTACTGGCAGAACAGAGTGGTGGCATTTGAATTGTCAAAATGATAAAAATCATTGCAACAACTCACGGAGGGAACTTCAACAAAAATATTTACAGAGTTTTAATAAACTCATTTTCTCTTTGAATTCCCGGTGTTTCATGTTAAAAATCGGTGATCACATTTACATTTGATACAATTACAGTTACATTTGATACAACTCTACAATTCTTGTAAAATTGTCTTTATTTTCTTTAAAGAATACTGTAAAATGTAACTTTTAATTTATTATTTTATACAGGTGTGGATTGCAACAATCATGACTTTTTTTGTAGGAACAATATTTTTTTATTTAATTTTTAACATGAGTGCAAAGTTTTATTCTGATAAAAAGACTTCTTTATATGACATCGTGATGGCTCTATTTGGTTCGTTTACGAATAAAGGTTAGACCTTTTTATTGTTTTTCATGTATATTAAAAATGAATAGTTTAAAATTTATGTTAAATTAATGCAATATTTCTATAAAAATTTAACATATTAGTAATAGATTAATTATATAAAAATACTATTTTCTAAAATAATGGATTACTTTTGAAATCTATTTATTAAAATTTTCACATTGTAAAATATTAAGTAACGTTTACATTTAACATGAAGATGACATTTCTCGCTTGTTCTGGATAGAATATTAAAATCATGCCTCTGTCGTGACAACCATTTTATTACTTCCTTAATATATAATCGGCTTGCTCTGTGGTATATTTCAATGTAAATCCGTCTGTGTAATTTTGCTGTCAGATACGTCTACGAAAGTGTGTTTTTTGGATTACAGAAACGGAATTACATTGAAAATTATTACTTCCTGTTTTTTGCAAAACCTGTTTGAACGATTTCTCAATTTGAGTCGCTCCCAAAGAAGCTTGGTCGCTGCATTTAATAACGATTCCACGATTATCGACAAATTTATGAAGCATTTCTTCTACTTACGTTAGTTTGCAAGCTTATTTTCAGAGATTAGCCGGAATAGAAGCACGAGTTCGACTCTGGTGCTATCTCTATCCCTCCATCTCATGTATTTCTAATACAAGGTCCTACCATCGAAAGATTTTTGGACCATCTTGCATTAGCTAAGTGCTTTTCTACTTTCGGATAGACTATTCTTATCGGATCTGTCCGTTTTTACCTCACCAATCTCGTGATAATCGGGCCTTTTAATATAGGTATGCTGCTCGTTTTCTCAGAATTTACCTTGCTGTCCGTCTTAGTCCTGTCAGCCATAATCCTGTTACAGTTTACCTTAGTGTTTATATTATAATTGTGAGCCGCCGGGAAGGTTGGAAATTCTTCTCCTTTCCGGCAACAGGTCGGTGACCTACTTTCTCGTCAAGGATGCGTTTACGTTCGGTTACGCGTTACGCGAGTGGAAGAGAGTCGGAGGGGTCGACGATAACACGTTGGCAGAGACGAGTAACGACACCATTTAAAAATTAAACAAGAATTTATTTAACTCGCTAACTAAATAAAAAGAATTACAAAACTCCTTTGACTTCGCGGCTGAGAGAGAGAGTTTACAATAATATTTTATACTTCTTGGATAATATCGGATGGATTGTTTAATTGTTCCGAAAGGCGGTGCGAGGTGTGGGACAAGGTCTTCCAATTAAGGTCGTACAGTAGGTATAAGGGAATGTTAATGTCCGTTTTTGTCGTTGTTCGTTCGATTGGCGACTACCCCGAGAGGGGAAGGAGGAAGGCTGTTATACGTTTTGTGGTGGAAAAATTCGTCAGGTGACCAATTGTTTTAGCAAATGTGCGGTTAAAGTTGGTGTTAAAATGACAACATTATGACGAATTTCGTCGGTAATTGTAAACTATACATGGTTTGATCGTGAGAATGTTTATAGTTAAATAGAAAGAGTTATAAATTTCTCGTGCACTATATATTTCGTTTCTTTAGGAATAAATTCCTCTAGCTAAAGGAATTGATTATAAATTTAAAGGATTAACTTTTTTTATGAAATTATATGAACTTCGAATTTCACATAATAATTTGTTTTTCGTCCTATATTTTACTTAAACCTATTTTGAATTTGCTATAAATTTCAAGAACTTATCATTTCACGGTATTTAAATAAAAACTTTATTAAACCATTACATACTCTATTAATTTAAAAAATGGTTTGTAAGTAATACGTTTGTGACCTTTCGGGTCGGCACCTCTTTAGTGCCCTGTCAGGATTGACACCACCGTGTTTATTAGAACACGGAAGCCGAGACGGCAATTACCACGTCACGCGAGCGGTCCCGTAAGTGTACAGACGGATTTGTAATGTCAGCCGATCGACAGACAGCATGTGGAAGAGACTCGAACTACACTTAACAATTAACAAGGATTTAATCAAAGATAAATGGGAAAGGATATAGAGGTTCTAAGGTTTTGTCGCGGAGAGAGAGAGTTCACATAACGAGCGCGAGTTGCATAAATACCTTGTGATAAAAGGTGATCTCCGATGGAGCTCTTGTTCTTTAATATAACAGTTCCTTTGGTGATTAGTTCCAATTTAATATCCACTAGCACAATGATATCACAAGGAAACTTATCCAAATAGGCTGGTCAATGATATTCCGAGAGTAATCGGTGCGGGTTTCCTTTGATGGAAGGACAGACAACAACTTCTTTCCCCAGGAAGGAGTAAAACGGCGACTGAGTTTTTTCGGCGGTCTTTGGCGATATTCACGGACGATATCGGCCGTCCAGAGGTTAATAGTTCACGTCATGTTGCCTTCGAGAAAATGTAACGGGAGACTTTCTCAGGTAGCTAAGAATAACAATTGTTGCATAACTAGAACAATATTAATATTAAAGTCTAAATGAAATATAGGAATTTCTGCTACCTCAAACGTTTATACTTGAAAATAACATTTAAAACAGAAAACCATTTCTGTTTTAAAACAGAAAACCATTTCTGTTTTAAATGTTACATATAACATGTTTTAAAATATGTTACATTTTCAAATCATTTATTTACACGTTAAGTATTTTTTCACAGTGTTATTGCATTAAATTATTATATTTTATTTTGTTATCATACCGGTTTCATTCGCATGATACTCGCGTCTACTACTTTAAACTGCATATTTCTTCTGCATATTTAATTTATTAATTTTTATTAGCTGGATTATTAAAGGTGTGTTTTATTCGTAGTATTTTTATCCACTTACTCCGTTAATACAATATAATATAATACCACAAGTAATATAATACCACAGGAAATATAATACCAGAAGTAATGGAAATGCCAACTAGGTTGATTTCCACTAAATTTAATGGACAATTTCGGAAAAATGATTTTTCTCTTACACAGTATTTTTTAAATAAGAATATAAGACACTGTACTTTTTTGAGCAGTCTAAGATGATGAGTGTAACAATTTTTCATATCGTGTCCCCTTCGTATTCAGCTCCACATCATTCCACATATATTGGAAATGTTATCAAATTTAGCAGACACTGTCATTTGAACAAGTATAAAGCTTGTCGACGACTTCGCATCAATATAGGTAATACCAGAAATTCTACTAGTGTCGAATTACTAGATGTGACAAACTAGCTAACAATTGGATTGCCAATACCATACTATAATTAAAAAATACGCCTTCTGTATAATAATATATGTTTTCCATATTTCATTTTCAATTGAAGTTTGTTTGCTAAATATATAAATGAATAAATACCTGGCTACCACCGTTTACGGTATTTATTACTTTTACATCGTTTCCTTAAAAGATTTTTGATTACTGAAAACTTAAGTCTTTTGCTATTATCCAAATATATCTAGTAGTATCTTTTCGTACTTGATATTAACTTTCATGTAACATCAATAAATTTACTAATCAGTTGAATGAACATGAATATGAGAAGATTTACGTTAGGAAATTCAGATTCATGTGCAAAAATACGTTTAAATCATTTAATATTAATTTAAGATTTTTAAGAGGTATTAACTTTTATTATTAATAAAGCTGTACAATAGAGAACACTTAAACAATATTAAACATGAGTGAGTATGTCAATAATTATAAAATATATTATTTATTTAGGAAATGATATTTTTCATCCTGCTGGAGAGAGTCGCAAACTGCTTGTAATCATGTGGATTCTTTCTGTATCTACTCTGGTATATAGCTATAGTGGATGTTTGATGTCATTTCTATCATTTCCTGGTTTAGAAGATGTACCGAGAACATTTCCCGACTTATTTCAGGCTGTAAAGAACGGACATTATACATTGAGTACTCATATGAAATCAGTAATAGGAGTGGTGGTTAAGGTATTTGATGTTTGAGATATAATATTAGCTAATAACTCTAATTCTGTAACCATCGATTGTTTTTCGGGTATTTGAAGAAAGCGAAGAAACAACGAATGGATTACAAAAATATACATTTATTGTAGGAAAATAGATATAACCACACTCTTTGCCCTAATAAATGAACAGACTAAAAAATATCTATAATATTTTCCAAATCTTAATTTTTTATCATATTTTTTAAATTTATTTAATTTAAAATATGCTTTCTACCTGAAATTAGTAGTTTTGCCCTGTCCCTGTACATCATACATTTCCTGTTAGCAACACATTCATGATGGTCATCTATCTAACTCCTTTCAGGGGACAATTTGAATTGAAATAACGTGACTTACGGACTGCTCCAACGATTTATATTTTTGGTTTCGGCTTTCATCTATCTTCAAATTCTAGATTAAGAGAAGACAAAAAGACGGTTGACAGTGAAAATTTATAGTCTATTTTCTTCAAATTGCAACCGAAAAAACTATAATAATGCAGTTGAAATCTACAATACACGAAGACAATAACTCCGTGTTTACATAACTAAACACCAAAGATATGCCGAAAATCTATCAGGCTAGTATTAGGCTAATTACTAAATGAATTACGTAATCAATTTGGCACTAAAGGTAGGCGTTAGGCGCCATCTCTAGTTGGTGTTTAGTTATGTTATGTATCGGGTTTAGCGATGTTTGTTTATATTCCGTGTCTACAGTTTAAATATTTTCTACAGTTGTGTATGACTAAATTATCTTGTTACATTATAAGTGATTTTAAGAGCAATAACTTTATACGGTAGAAAACAATAGTGATAACTTACGTACAATTTAAATAACTCTTCTGAAATCTCTAATCAAATTCTTTTGCAAAAATTAATTAAAGATAATTTGACTACAATATTTGAGGTAAAGTATGGAAGGAAGGAAGTAAAGAGGGTAGTAGTATAGTTCAATTCAACGAATCTTGAATGGACGATGCGTTGTATTCAATCAGAGCTATAGAAATTTTATTTTAAAAATCTACTCTGGTGACTTTAAACAATAACAAGATTTTTAATTGTATTAAACAATTATAATATTAATCGTCACAAAACAGTTTTTATAACAATATTCTTGTACTTTGTCGAACACTACCTAAATGATGATAGGCTTATTTGGACAGACATGCCTGAGGTTCCAAAAAATGAGTAATTTTTATTTAAGAAACTTCGTATCTTGCGATGATAATTGAAACCCAGTCAACAAAAAATCTGGTACCCTTATATAAGGTAAGATAAGATACCTCTGCGCTTCGATAAGAAAACCAGTTAAGAGTGTGTACGAAGCCAAATATTTTTTTCGTTTATTGTAGGCAAGTTCCTTTATTTCTCTATAACAACCGACGAGAAAATTATTTTATTATTTTAATTATAAATGTTAAAATGTATGATTTTTATCGTTTAAATTTAAAATTGTATATTTGGTAATCATAAGCTCTTAGGTCCGTGGCGACCCAAAGTTTAGATTAGTATATTTCTCTATATTTTGCATTATTATTTAGCGTTTATTTTTAAACTGGTACATAAAATTGATTGTATTTTTCTATAAATTTTTTAACACAATCATCAGGTTGGTTCCTAAGATGTGGAATCTAAAGTTAGTGTCAAACATTTTATATTATTCCAATGATCAATTAACAGATGAACCCTATCTACATGTTAATTTATATTATGTGGATTTTTATTTATTGTTAAATATTGACGTTTTAGTTAAAGGTCAATATTTAACAATAAATAAAACGTATTTCGTGTGTAATACAGTACAAATAATTGCACAATAAAATGTCTTATGTGAATTTGTTAAAATTATTATATTTAATGAATTAATTTTATTTATAACAGAAGGGAGAAACAGAATCAACTGCTACTATGAAAAAATTTCTTGACGAAGGAAAATTGGTGCATATAGAAAAACGTCATTACTTTGAAAGGATGTTTGCAATTATAAGTTTCAGCAACATTGTGTTATTTAATGTTAAGATAATAGGAGAGAAAAATTATCTGTGTTCTACAGATAATCTGTTTATGCAATTTCTGTCATTTGGACTAAGAAAAAATTTCCCCTTAAAAACACAATTTGATCAAATGTGAGTATATAAATAGTACCTAAAAATAATGTTTTGAACAAAATACATAAAAATTAACTTTACATGAATAAAAATTTGAACGTTATTTTGTGAAACGTTGTTTTATTAAAATTATTTCATCATTTTAAAATTAATACACAATATTGTTTCTTCGCATATTTTTTTATTTCAGTTTGAGAAGATGCCTTGAAGCAGGATTACAAGAAAAATTTGTTTCTGATGAGGTACTCCGTCACAGCAATGAAAGACAGTCGTTGTTCGTAGAACCTGATGATTTTCGTCCTTTAACATTAAATGATTTGTTTGGATCATTCGTAATACTAATAATTGGACATACAATTTCAACAATTATATTTATCTTGGAAATTATCGTTAAACAAATAACTTCTTACTCTTTCAAATAAATTGAAGTGTTCTAGATTTATTTTCTCAATTAATGTACAAGATGTAAAATATAAATCTTATTTTTGTTATATGATTTCATTTCTATATCATATAAGCAACATTAGACCGATTTTGAGTAAATTAATGTATATCTATATACTGTACAACTAGCTGTTACGCACGACTTTTCCCGCGCGGATATTGCGAGCAAACCCCATTTATATTTAGTATTTCAATAACCGTAATAATTTTATATAACACCTACTGCCGAGAATGATGAGAATTGCCGAGAAACGAACTATTTTAAATTTGATCAAATTTCTGGAACGTTTACAATCGTTCTATAATTGAACCAATATGCAATAAAAAATTCGCTTTTAAAACTGTTCGAACATTTAGTTAAAAAATCGAAATACATAAAAATATTTATAACTGAATGTCTGAAATATTATCAATTTAATACACCTAAGTACTCAATGAAAACTAAACGTACAGTACTTGAAAACAATAATCGCATCTAAAATAGTACAGTAGAAGCCGTTCTTTAGGTTAACCTTAATGCTCTCCTTCTCCCCCGAGGAAAAATTTCAAAAAATCCCTTCTTAGTGTGCGTTTTCATGACATACCCTAACTGTGTACAAAATTTTACTTCTTTAGTTTCAGCTGTTTGCTCTGTGCGATGATGAATCAATCAGTTAGTTAGTCAGTCAGTCATGACAAGTAATTTTATATATTTAGATAATGGCATTGCAGTGTTTATAATATACCAAATTAATAGCATAGCGCTTGATATACCCAAAATACAAAAACATTCGAATTTTTGGATTAGACGAAATTTCGCTTATTCAAAACACCTCTGATCTTTCAACTTCGAGAATTCGCTATGATTTTTTATAAAGAACATTTTATGAAGCTTTTTCATATTACAATAACGCCAAAAATGAAAAATATGCAAGCTAAAATTTATAAGATATTACCATATTTTATAGATTTTATTCATTTTATTATTACTTATATTTTAATTCTGTAAATTTTACATTATTTTGAATTATCAATATTGTGCATATATATTCACTTCACTTCACTTTGTATAAATCTTTATTTCCGAAGACGGCCTCGGCTCCGCAAAGCTCCACCGAGGTTAGGAGCAGAATGTTTACAAGCATATTACATGTAAAACAGGTTACATAACAAGAATATGTTAGATTACAACTATATGTTTTAGAGTTCAGTTAATGTACTTGGCAAATTATTGACTGCAGAGTAGCCAAATACTTACATAAAAATTCATATATATTGACAGAAAAATTAAAAGTATTAAAAAACGATAAAATGTTTGATTAAGATTATGATAATTGTAAGAACAAAGTTATAAGAACTAACGCCATTATCTCTCCTTAAAATTTGAAATTTGTAGAACGCATGAAAAATGCTTACTAGCAAAAGAATTCTGTAATTCACTTTTGTATTCAACAATAAGTAAATTAATAAAATAAGTAAAAGCAAAAACTTTTGGTCTTCGATTATTTGTAATTTTTTTAAAATAATTTTTTTATTTAATAAATTTTCTATTAATTGATCAAAGACTTCACACGCTTCAACAATACATTATACAGTAGAACCTCCATTATCCGGACCTCTATTATCCGGATTTTCGATTATCCGGATTGTTCAAAATAAACAAAAATTTTACGAATTTGCTGATTTGCACTTGGCGAATTACGACACTGTTTACGTACGTGACGGAATGCATAACTTTTTTTGTTTCAACAACGTCTCACCCATCACAGTGGTCGTAAACTCTTAAATATATTTTACGTAGTAATAAAAATATAACTTGACATACGTATTTATAAATAATTTATATTCAAATTACATCATTTCTATGACCAAGGGCGGCGTAAGGCATAGACGACGTGGGCCACCGCCTATGCCTCGCGGTCTGAAGGGCCTCGCGCCTCGAAGGTTTATGCATTACTTAAAAGCCGCGAACGCGACGAAAAAATTTTACTCGTCATAAAACGATAAATAGTTTGTCAAATTTTTATTCATAAAAATGCAGTTTCAACTGCTTTTTATTTTATAAAATCCGTCTTCTTGCGCCACCAGAGGGCCTTTTAAACAATAGGTAGTCTGTTAGCGTTGGTCAGTAGTAGTCCAAATTCAATACGAACGTTTGTTTCTTGAAAATTTGACCACGATTTAAATACAGTATTTACTTTTAATATCACCGATATGTCATCGAAAAGAAAACGTGTTGTATTATCATTAAAAGACAAATTGAAGTATTTGTTTCGATTATCCGGATTTTTCCTTATCCGGACTACCTTCATCCCCAATTAGTCCGGATAATCGAGGTTCTACTGTACTTTATAAAATTTATATCTATGTAATAAATATTTTTGTAATGTCTATAATTTATCGTGATATATAGGCCTACTATAAATAATATGGAATTTTGAATGCAATTATATATTTAAAAATGCGTTGCTTTATAATTTTTTGGCAACATTATGTTAGTGGAATATAATTTATTGTTAAAAATTAGCCCTTTGCATTAAATTCGATATAAAATTATTTTTTATACGGACAAAATAGAACTTTTTATAAATACTGTGTTCTAAAACAAGTAGGCTATACTAATGTAATGTGTTATTAGCTCCTCTAAAGTTGTATAAAATTTTAGATAAATAAATAGTATAGATATAATTATATTTACTGTATGTATCTGTATATATATCTATTCTATTCTTCTATTATATCTATTATATAATTTTTCTATTTTGTAATTTTAATATATATCAACATATTAACCTATCAAAGTGTATTTAGCTAAACATAATTATGTAATTCAAATAATATAAATACTATTAATGTGAAATAAAAAAAATACATTTCACATTCAGTTCTTGAATCTTTAAATGAAATATTTTTAATAGGATATAAATCTTACTGTAAATTAGCCTATTAAAATAGCCTGTTCAGTTACCAAAATTTACAAAGCGTATAGAAAATATTTTTTATTCAGTATTTATGTCATTATAAGTCATTCACTACTATCTTACAATGACATATCGTTTGTCATGAATACACACTGATGTCCAAAAGTTAAGAATAATGGTTATTTCTGTGAGTAAGCATCTTCACAGAATTGTCTGTGGAAAATTGATTGCGATAAGAACTACGTAATTATTTTTACCCTTCACGTAAATCAAGCTAAAAATGTAAACCAACGTCAGATAGTCGCGATATTTCTCGTTTTTCAGCTCTAATTTAGCTAATTTTCATATTTAAAGGAATAAGTATTTTATTAAATTTTGAGAGAACGAGAGGCGACACTTAACGGAGAAAAGGAGAAACAAAGAACAGACGACAGAATGAAAGCAGTTGCCAGAACTCGGGGTAATACAACGTTGTTGGTATTAGCGATGGAGTGGATGAATTGAATCTCTTCAATGAAAGGAATAAACGGTTACTATTGTAATTTTGATACCCAATTCTACTCCTTCTCCAGTTACAAAGAGAGCGGATGTCAATCGTTGAAACTTAAGATAATTGACACTGTAATAAAGCACTTATCGGTTTGTTTACGTTAAAAACGAATGTGATTCACATCCTTCTGTAAAGATAATAAACATTTACTATTGTGACCTTGACTTCCACCCCCACATCTCTCCAATTACAAAGAAAGCCGATGCCACGCAGTGAAACCTGAGAGAATTTAAACGGATATGAAACTGGATATGTTTTTTTCCATTTTTTGGATCAAATTACAGTAATATAAACATAAAAAACGTTAGAAGGGAGAAAAATTACATAAATAAACGATATAATCGTATTTTCTGATGGCAGTAATGCCAGATTTTTATTAAAACAACGCAATTATATTTAAAAAGCTGTGATTACGATTTTTAAGCTTAGTGCTCAACATAATCCCTCTTGAATCATTCCTATCACCCCCAATAAATTATACAACGGCGCAGTCCATTTTAAACCAATGGAAGCACAGGTAGAAATGATTGACAGGTCAAATGACGTCACTTACGTGACGTCACATCACGTCACGATGAGGAAAACCATCTTGCACTCCACAGTACGTCTAACACTGCTACGAGAAAATTATCAACGAAACAGAAATAATCAGACAGAAGAGCAACTTGAAAATTATACAGAAACACATCGAAGCAGATAAAGATTATGTACAGGAAAAGAAACAGTTTTTTATAGTATATAAAAAACTATCTAAATATATAAAATTGATTGTTTTGACTGACTGACTCACTCATTCTCTTACAAATTCATCATCGCTCAGATCAAACCGCTAAACCTAAAGAGGTGAAATTTGGTAGACAGTTAGGGTACGTCATGGAAACGCACACTAAAAAGGGATTTTTCGAAATTCCTCCTGCGGGGGGAGAGGGGGAGGATTAAGGCTTAACCAGAAGAACGGCTTCTACTGTACTATTTTAGATGCGATTTTTTGTTTTTATCTGCGTTTTAGTAGGGTATGCCATGGGGAATGCACAATAATAAGGGATTTTTCGAAATTCCCCCGCGGGGGGAGAGGGAGAGGATGAAGGCTTAACCGGAAATATGGCTTCTACTATACTATTTTAGATACGATTTTTTGTTACGTATAGTTTTCATTAAGTACTTAAGTGTATTAAATTAATAACATTTCAGACATTATTATAAATATTTTTATATATTTAGATTTTTTAACCAAATACNGCGGATCGCGGCATTAAGTTCGACAACGCTGCGAAATTTCGCAGAACGCGGCATGGAACCCGACAACGCCGCGAAATTTCGCAGAACGCGGCATGTAACCCGACAACGCCGCGAAATTTTGCGAATCGCGGCATGGAGCCCATCAACGCCGCGAAATTTCGCAGAACGCGGCATAGAACCCGACAACGCCGCGAAATTTCGCAGAACGCGGCATGAAACCCGACAACGCCGCGAAATTTCGCAGAACGCAAAATGAAACTTGACAACGCCGCTAAATTTTGCAAATCAC